GCGGAGTAGCACCGGGGTAATCGGATGCTGAGATCGCCACCTGCTGATTTCGTATCATCGGGCTAGCCTAATTCGAGCAGCCGGTAGTTTACCGTCTGTTATCAGCCGCGCGGATCGCTCGAATTCAAGTTTCTCTCGCATGTGGTCCGTGTCTATTAGCCGTGAAGGTGGTGACTAATTAAATTCTTCGCGCTAGACTGGATTCACACGGACCTTCCTTAAAAAAAAAAAGAAAAAACACACCTTTTGTTGCCTCTCTTTTATCGTCCACGTACACATATTCGAGCGTTAATTGACTCGGAGTGGCCTATTGTCGTAAAGGAGGGCTTTAATTTTTCTCCTCTGTCGCCTGACGGAGTGCCTAAATACCGAGAATTCACGATCTATGGATCCACTGATGCGTTCTTGATTGTATGGTTCAAGAACCTCAGGTTGAAAGACTTAATAAACCGCCGTTTTTTTTTTTTTTTTTTTACATTATTCCGTATCAAGCTTGAATCTAGAAGTTTGTATACTTGGTGAACGTTTTCCAGAAATCTATCAATAAATCTGACACACTTGTACAAATATAATTCATTCGATCAGCGGTGCATTAAATTGACTCGTGAAGCGTTAACTTATTTAACATACAACATTTCCCCGTTCGAGAAAGGGGGGAGAAAAAGAAGGAAAATTGCACGAAGAACCATTCACTTGGCTACCTCAATTTCAATTACAAATACACCTTGCGAGAGAACTGCAAGCGCACGGTAATTTTACTCGCCGAATTAACCAAACGATCTTTCACTCTCCGGCAATTTACTCCAATACTTGCACACACACACACACATACACACAGATACGTACGTACCTAACGTCTAACCTAACCTCGACTTGCCTCCGGTGCGTGCAACATAAATCTACCTTAATGATATCGCACGTAACGCCGGGGTGACGCTATCTCGCGGGTTGGTACACGTGAGAACACGGCTGACACCTCGATCCAGCTTGCCCGTAAGAGCAATCGCGCGCGAAAGATCGTATCGTGGAGATTTTCTGCGGCCCTTCTTCCCGTTTCTCGCGTCGTTTAGAAGGAGGAACTTCGTTGGTCGCTCTCGATGACCCGGTCCGTTCTTGCAAAAAGGGAGAGAGAGAGAGGTAATGTTGGTTCCGTTGCGCCACGAAATTTTGCGTCCAAGAACCTCTCTTTACTCCCCAACAGGCTCGTGTTTCTGCTCGTTTAAGCGGGCAGAAAACGACTTCGGCCGCGATTCGTCTTCAGATAGCTCGGAGCTGTGCACGCTGGCCCATTCGCGTCACTCTGCGCTTCTCTTCAACTTTTTCTCGCCCGTTTACCTTATACACCGCCCATTTCGTACGCTTACTTCACACTCCGCACGCACAAACGCAGATGGTTATCTCGACTTTCGCCACTTTGTATGCCTCTACTTGACGCTTTCGCGCTCTTCCACTTCCTTCTTTTTTCTTTCACGTCTGTATAATTACATAGTCGAGGAGGAGTATCGGTGAAATTTTTGTATAGGAGATACTTATAACGAGGAAGAAGCTCGTTGTGTAATTTACATTCAATGCAACCCTCGAATTACGAATCGACGATCGCGAAGATGATCGAGAGAGGAGAAGATGGTTTCCAGTTTGACGAAAATCGTGCAAACGGCGAGGTGGTAGCAAGCGTAACACGGAGAGGAGGAAGAAGGAGAGAAAAAAAGCTGGAGGCAGGTCTGCTTCCCGGAGTCGCTGTTCCAGCGAACTAATTGTGAGATCGGCGGAGGAAGAAGGGACACGAAACGATAACGGGGCTTTCAGCGTGGAACTCGTAAATTTGTCAGCGAGCCACGTTGTACTCGTGGATTTTTAGGCTGACTCCCTCCGGGCAAATTATCCATCCCTCTCACCATTTCAATTTGTCCGTTTCCTCTTATCGGCGTGGAAGCGAGGAGTGTTCGTGCTCGTTAAACAGCGAAGAAGGTGTAACAGTGGAACGAAGGGAGAATTGCTCCTCCCTTTTCCTTCCTGGTTATCTTATCACGAACCATTGCTCGACCCCTGACTTATGCGTCGAACGTTGCCGCGAACGCAGGTTCCGCCTTGTTCAACCGAACAGATATTCGTTTCATTCCGGGTGGTATTTGGTGGAATTTTCTGCGGGTGACGTGTGTCACGTCGAAGAATTGAAAAGTTATTACGGAATTTTAAGGAATATTCTGAATATTTATTATTTCAGCTTCAAAGGAAGTGTGCCTTTCTAAGTGTACTTAACTCTTTCGTAAACAATGGATACTGGAATAAAATTTGACGATTGCAAACTAAGTAATAAATTCTTTGAAAAAATAATTCGATCAATCTTTCAGAATTAGTTTTGATCGAAAATTTAAAGATTCCATCATCGAGCAAATTTAAATCTCTCCTTCGTAAAAAAAAGAAATTTCCCAATCCCCGAGATTTCACCGATTCGTGGCAACCAGTTACGAAAACACCTTGTTTCTGCCCGTGATTGTTGCAAAATCAACTTTCGAGCTTGGTTTGTACTTGCACGTGGTGTGCCAACTTTATTTCAAAACCTCCTCGAAGGACCACCCAGTTATACTGGGACTAGTGAAGTGGTTACAATTTGAGCTGGTTGCTCCTTGGTGTTTGTTGGACGAATGAATCTCGACGTCGTCCCTCGGACGTCCGTGGGAGAGGTTTTTGGTTAGAGCACGCTGATTGGTTAAATAGTTAACAATTACATTTACCAATCAGGGTGTCTAATAGCGTCTTCACCGCCCTTCCAGTGCGCCCTTAGCGCGCTGTCGCCTTGAAAGGGTGGAAAGTCCCAAAAAGCTGGAATTTCCTCCGGGTGACTCATCGGCAAGCGTACCGTTACAGGTAGATGTGCCGTTCGGAAATTCGTGGCTTATGGCATGTTCTTAGGCTATTGAGCGCGAGGGACAGAAATCACTAAAAATTCAACAAGCAATTCTAGTGACCCTCGCCAGAGTGTAATTAGACACGTACAAGTAGTAAACGAAATCCTGAACTCAAAAATAACCGTTGCCGTTCGATCGTGCCATAACCCGTGCCTGTGAAGACCGAACACACCTGTTGGCGTAGAAAGCCAGATGCGTAGGCGGAAGCGCACAGGTGATCATAATGGCCAAGGTCGTAATAGCGTGATATACCGACTTATCGAGCATTCGTAGGTTCCTTTCGTTGATCTGAGTGGACGGGGAATAGGCTTGGGTCGATCTCCTGTTGCTTGGTCGCTTCTACGAAATAATAAACCGCGTTACGAGGAGCACACGCGAGAGGGGACGGCCGTAATGCGCGGGCGCCTTACTCGTTATCGCTGACAATGGGTCGCATGCTGAGCCCCGAAACTACCGGCTGCCAGAGGTGAATTAAAGCGGTGTCTGTGGCCACGAGATGAGAGAACCGCCATTTCCTGGACGCAGATATTCATCTCCGTGTGTTGCGTCCGCTTGGAAAACTGTTTGATACAATTTAAAAGGAGATCTGCCACGACAATACTCAATTTTTTGATTTCTTCTTTATAAAATTTGTAATTTTGACTTGTTTAATCCTTTATTCTACCTTTCCCTTCGTTAATTACCTTGGAGCACTGTGAATTCAGAAATTTGGAAGTAACTCGATAATTTATTTTACGAATCGTTAGTCAGAACCAAAATTGATATTTCTTTATATCGACCATAAGAGTGTCTCCCATAAAATAGTGTGAAATTCTATGGTCCAAAATAACAGAAAAATAGTTTTACTTCATTTATACTTGGTAATTCTTCACTTCCTAAACTGGAACTATAGCTAAAGTCAAAATTAAAGTTCATCAAGGACATTAAAGATGGAACAGGCCATCGTAAACCAAAGAATGAGAAAACACACTTCCGAAGCATCCGCGAAACACACGCAGCGAGATCCTCGTTTCGAAAAGTAGGTTTCCGACGCAGATCGTCGGAAGATAGCCTACCGTAGATCCAACGATACGCGATCCTTTTCATCGAACGTATCGAAGATGGACCTCCGAAGAAGTTTGGGAAAGCGACGTGGATTCTCTCCGTGTTTGTGTGATAGAAAAATAACTCCTTCGTATTAACGTCGACCGTTAGAAGCGCATTAATATCGTCCGATGAATTGACCGGTAGTGTCACGTCGACCTCCGAGAGAGTCCTGCCAGAGAATAGGGAGCAGTTAGATCGCGGTATTGTGACGCGTACGCGAGACCCTGCGGGACGTCCGAGCTGTACCGGGAATCGGCAGGCTCTCTCTCAGTGGGGACCGGTAAATACCACTAATCACTTCTCGATCCTTTCTAACCCACCTTGACCCCACCGCTCGAAGAGTTATGGCCGTTGGCTTTATTCAGGCTACCTCAGCCGACGCGGACCCCGACCCCCGTTCGCGCCTGGTGTGTATATACACCGGTGCTTTGCTCGAGTCGTTGTGAAAAGTAGCCCCTTGAAAAGTTAAGGAAAGAGAGAAGCGGTATAGAACACGAGCGAGTAGAGTTCTCTCGATGATTGCTTCCTTTGTTCGAAGCACCTGAGATCTTTATGAAGACGTACACGCGGTGCAAAGAAGAGCGTGAAAATCGAAATGGACTCCACGTCGGTGCGTGTTTCTTTCGGCATTTTTATAATTGACTTCAGACGTCGTTGAAAGGTGTGAGTACGATTGTAATTGGGATAACGTGGTTTTCTGCGAAGACACAAGGTAGCAATTTATTACTGGAAAAATCAGGTGACTGGGGAAGACGGCCGGTGAAGGTACACTGATCGCTCGGTGAAATGTTACGCACAATGTGTGATAGGTCCGGTAATACGGTCATCGAGCTGTACGATTTAGACACAGGTGACGAACGACACGCTCCGGGACACGAACGATTCCGTTCGACGCCGGCCATCACGGTGAACGTCGATGGACGCTGACAACGCGCTGAGAGATTGTCGCCGCTAACGATGCACCACGACGTGGTCGGCCCACGGACTGAGTCGTTCCCTCGCCGATTAATCTTGATCATGGATCGTGCGTCGATCATCGATCGCGCCGTCCCGATCGCTGTTCGCTGATGATCGACTGTGGCTCAGACTACACTCGCGACTCTTGCTCTGCCTGCTCCGATGCTCGGAGTTACTCTCCTTGTCGCACGTACACACACCCTCCTCGTCGGGGATTTGTTGCTCCGTCTCGGGATTGTTCCTCAGGGCACGTATCTCTCTGCTCCTCTTGGTGCACTTGCACCTGGTGCAACCTATTCTTCTCGCCTTCATACCGCGACTCCTTCGTCTACGCGAACGACGACGACGACGACTACGCCTTCTGCGACCTCCTCTACGTTTCCTTCTGCCGCGGCTGCGTCGTCGACCTCTTCGTCGCCTGCTCCTGCCGCGCCTTCGTCGCTTTCTGCTCCGCTCGACCGGCGCCAAGCCCGCAGCAAACTGAGGCTCCGTTTCGGTGTCCAAGAAGTAGTGACCGTTGTTCTTCTTTAGGATACCGTATTCCAGGCCCCGTTTCAACGCTGCTTGCATCTGTGACACGAGTCGAAGGAATGTTACAGTGTTCTCTGAGTAACAGTGTAAATTAGGGTACTTTGGAACCGGAGGACAGGGTAATTTGGATGTTGCGAGGTTCTCCTGATAAGAATGAGCCCAAACACGACCACATTTGGAGGTTTTTTAAAACTTGGTTCGAAAATTGAAGAGCACCCGGTATAATGCTTCTGGTTAAAAGTAGACGGAATATTGTCGTGTTTGGGCTCATTTTCATTGGAAAAATCTCGTCTGTTTGTTAGTTTTATTGTAAATTTGGCGTGGGAGATGAGCGAGGATTATTAATATAGCTTCTAGTACGCAATTTGTAAGATTCTTTCATTTTCAAGAATGAAAAATACCTGTCTCTGCACGGACAACTCAGGAATACTACACTGCGACGTGATATAATGCATGATCTCCTTCGAGGTAGATCCATGCGCCTCTCTTAGGTTCCTGATCGCGTTGACCACTCTGGCCGACATCTTCGGTACCTGTCTCCCCATTTCTGCGCTATTTTCCCCTTTCCTCCCGGTGAAAATTCAACGCATCGATCTGCTTATCCCCGGATCAGCTCTGCAGGGTCTCTCAGAGTCAGGCTTTCGAAAAGAACTTTGGTACATTTGATCCTTATGTATAATTTTGCTGTTCGTATATTTGTATCAAATTTATCACGAGAAATTTTCCAAAAATCGTGCCAAAATCATCTTGATCGTGAATCGATTTGCGCGACTGGTTACGATCCCAGAGCAAACTGACAGTTTTGTTTATCTTGGTTTCTATGCTTCGTTTCATTTCGTCGCCAAAACGAAACCGCTCGGTTCCGCTCGAAACTAATCCTTACACGTTACATACCGGGTGCAACGAGAAATCGTGGTGTTTGTCCGAAGATGTCACGGTGACGCGCAAAGTGTCGCGATAACCGGTGCTCCTTCCAAAGAAAAGTATCGGCTCAGGGTATTTTACAGCCGAACGAGAAGGAAGATTACCTTGTCGCGGTCGACGAGATTATCTCGCCGGCGAGGCGATCGGAAAAATCGAGCCGGTAGACGCGGTGGATAAACGGATTTTCGAAGTAATACCGCTGTTAGACCGAATTACACGGCTGAAATAATAAGGAAGGTGGAACGGAATCGTAAAGATAGGAGACGCACGAACGACGACCAGTGGACTGGTTAATTCCTCTTCTGATATTCTTGCCCGTTCTGCCCACTTTTTCTCCTATTTTCTCATTCCCGGCCGTTTCGTTCGATCGACATTCCGCCGCGAGAATATCGCGTCAATTAATTGAAATGTCTTTGGGGTATATATTACACTCGGAACACGTTCAAAGTGTACGATGAGGATCGATATCATTTCGAACAGTCCGTCTTCTTCTGAAACTCGATCGATAGGAAATTCGATTCAACTGAATTAAATAAATCTACCTCGCTCTGAATGCTTTTCCTTGATAAAATTACGTTCGTACATGTTGCAATGTATGTATATTCATTTGCTGAGATAAACTAATGGCAGGGAAAAAAGATATAATAACAAATTAATTACGAAAGTAGTCTAGATCAAGAAATCTGAAAAAACTGGATGTATCACTTTGCAATCACGTGAAACTGTTTTTGTAAAATAGTAGAATTTTACCTGAAAAAGAAAATTAAATATCTCGAAAGAAAAATGTACGATTTAGGTCACTTTAATCAACCGAATTCCCCCCTCTAACACACTCACCTTGCGTAGTTTTTTTAAATTTCCTATATTGCATTTGGAAAGATATCGAGTATCTTTCCAATTGCAATTGTTCCCTCGCTATCGAATTCACCGAGTCGATATATTACTTTTACGCGTACGCCTTATCAACGTATGAAAAATTGAAGGTTCGTTTTAAAAGGATTAACTCGCGAGACGTATGCCATTATCGGTATCGTCTTCATTACCCCGGGACATGTAGCTCGGAATATGAATATCTCACTACTTACGGGGCCCGGCCGCTTAATCAAACAACCGACATAATTACACCAGGGCCGCAATTTCCTTTAATCGATCGATTTTCATACTTCTCGCGTTTCTCGAGCAACGCGTTCACTTTCGAGCTCGAATTAATAACACCTTAAAGAGAGAGAAGAGGAAGAGGGAAGCAGGACCGATCGTTAAGGCAAGCCGCGGTCCCGATACTTGTTAAATTCGGCGATCCCGAAGGTAACGAAGGCAGTTTGCAGCCGGCTCGGTGCCACGCCAAATTTACCGATTAATTTTTTCCCCTGAGCTCATTAGCCGCCCTTAATGGTGTCGGCGGCGTTAAAAAAGCCGCGATTCCAAGTCGGCCTCGTGGAACGCGTGTATCCCCTTGCTCGTGACATCTTGCCACCTCGTCCGGTAATTGGATAGTCGGGGATGCCGCGGTTTTACAACGAATAACGCGGCAATTTAGCTGACCGTTTAGCCTTCTACCTGGCCAGAACCGATTCCCCGATTCGTTAATCAGCACCAGGTGTCGTTGTTGCTGCTCTGGCTGCTGCACCGTCGTCGTAGTATTCTCCGGAATACTTGTTGCCCACGTATGTACACCTGCATGAAGATGCACGCTCTCGCGTCTATACGCCAATGATTATTTATCAACGTCGCGCTGTTAGACAAGAGGAACGCCAGGACGTCGCGTTTAAGGGCTTTTATTGTCGTCAGCCGGCGCACGCCTCGGTAATAGCGCCGCCGCCGCTCTCTTGTCCGCCATTCTTCCGATTCACCTTGCCGATTCCATCGCGAACATTCTCCGTTCCTCTCTTCTCTCTCTCTCTCTCTGTTCGCATTTTCGCAGGAATGAGGCTTCTTTTCAGCGAACCCGCGAAACGGTAATTCACGCGGCGAATATTTACGAGCGACGCGGAAGGGAAATTTATATCGGGCAGCATCACGGTGATGCATCATTCGCGGCACCGGCTCTGCTCTCTACACTCCGTGACGCTCCTATTTCGACGAATAGAAACGCCAGCCTTTATTGATATCTCTCCAAGCGGGCAGGTTTATTCGCCGTCGTTC